TTTTGAAGCTATCGAACGAAATTTAAAATAAAACCTAGGCTGGAAAAATTGTGCTCACAGTCGGCCAAAATCTGATATTTAAAATCCAATTTCGCAGCTTCCGCGGCCGCGGGAAGGTTCGCTGGCCACGGCGAAGGGAAGCTCCGCGGCCGCGAGTGGGCCCATGGCCGCGAGAATTCAGCTCTGAAGTGCTGGTCGCGTGGGGCTGTTTGCTCGCCGCGGCCGCGGTGAAGGAAAGCTCCGTGGCCGCGGCCTTGAAAGTTGGGCACGGCAAGAAGATTTGCAGCAGGTGGGCGTCGCGGCGTGGAGGAGACGGGAGGCGCGGCGGGGTGCTGTCTCGCGGCGTGGTGCAGGGCTGAGGCGCGCCGTGGAGGAGAGGTTGCTGTCGCGGTGGAGAAGAATTGGTGCAGCGGCGAGGTACTCTTGCAACGGCGTGAGGGTTGAGCTTGCCGCGGCACGACGGGACAATTCTGGGCGCGCTTAAAGATGGAGAGTTGCAGGTGCGTGGCGGAGACTCGCCGGAAATCTGTGCACAAGGGAGCTTGCTATCGGGAACAGTGAGGCTGCGTACGGATGGCCGACGATGAATGATGGTGGTGAGGATGATGATGGTGGGTGACGGGAAAATAAGCGTGTGAATGATGGTCCTTGCCGCGTCGTGGATGTGGCCTGCTAGCTTCGTGAAGAGGGCTCGGGCTGACTACGTCACTTGGTCTTGGGCCGTGAAGAAGAAAATTGCTATCGTGAAGTGTGTTGGATGTAGTAAGCTTTCTTGCACGGCTTATGTCTCGGGTTCGGCCTCGCTTGTTTGGAAGCGGAACTTGGTCCCATTTTCTCAATTGTAATGGCCACGCCCGTCTACGAATTTGATAACTTCCTTCCCCATAACAAACAATCAAACAACTCAACCTGCACATCACTAGACGAAAACAAAAACGGAGAAAACGGAGAAGATAACCGAAAAAACATATAGAGACTCTAAATCAATAAAATCACACGACAAGAAACAAAACGCACCAAAACTATCACGAAAAACATAAAATGGGGGAAGAAGACAAGGAAAATAATCAAGAAAAACGTAACAAAAATGGGACAAACATCAATGTTCAAGTGCCCGGATGACTTATGGACCGATATGTTTTCATTGTACAATCGTTCGGATGCCTTTATTTTGCACTCGAGGACCTTCGGATTATTATCTTTGTTCTCACCGGACGAACACCGACAAACACGGTGGTTCACCACCATGTAGAGTACGCGCTTTCTTTTCCTTATTTTTTTTTCTCTTGTTTCTTTGCTTGTGTGCGTGCTTGTGTGCCTTTTATTTTTGTTCTTTTAATTTGTTTCGTTTTGTTTATCGCATGAGCTTGCATAATTATGTGCTCTATCCTATGCTTTTTGGTCAAGCAATGAGGACATTGCTTTGTTTAAGTGCGGGGGAGGGATTTCTGTGGTTATGCATGTTTAGGCGATATATCTTTCGTTTTTTGTGCATTTTTTTTATTTGTTGTGTCTTGGACCGGTTTTGTTGCTATTTTCATGTGTTTGCGTCAACTCTCCCGCATGATGCTCAATGTTTGTTCGAAAGTCGAAATAGCAAAGTGGTGAGTCGAGATTGTTGATTGGTTTCATTATTAACGTTCATGCTTTATGTACTTGATGAATTGGACGGTGTCCTAAAATTGAATGATGATTCGTTGACATTGGAACCCGCATACGGATTCCCAAAATTGTTTTGTCTCTTGTTTGTTCTCGATTGATTGTCTTGAGACATGCTTACCTTATGTTCAATTATCGTTATAAATGTGTTATGCTATACACTTATGGTACGTCTTTATTGATATGTGTAGATCATGTTATTGTATTCGCGATTGTGTGCCTCTCCCTTCAAATAAATAAATAAATAAATGAAAAAGAGATATAAGATGTGAGTTCGCGAGAAAGTACGGGTTAGACTCCTCTTATCCTGAGCCACTTCGCGGAATGGGATAATGATCCTGGGAAACCGGTCTAGGAAACTCGAGGAGTTCCCTCGAGGTTAAACCTAGATAATCTCGTCCGGAAACCTCATTTGGAAAAAGAAGCTCACGAAAAATGAGTTCGTGAGAGTTGAAAGGATTAGGTTCCGCTTGGCTTGTTTAGCCTTCTAGATAAACTGGGTTAATAAGTACTGAAAACCGGCCTAAAAGACTCAGGGACAACCCCCGAGGATAAACCTAGGTAATAATCGTCCTAACGACTCTCATTTAGAAAAAGTAGCTCATTAAAAAATTAATAATAAAAAGATAAAAAAAAAAAAAAAAAAAGAAAAACATGAGGAGTTGGCTTGTTGGTTTCATGTTTCACATGTTTATATGTTGAGTAGACCTTTTATAGTTTTTGCACGTGTATGCAGAAAAATGGAGTTATATCGAGTAATCATATGTAGAATGACTTGGGACGAGTTTTTGTTTTGTATGGATTCATCATGTGGGGACCGCGTTTACGGATTGGAGTTTGATTTTATGGATAACCGGATAAAGAGCAGAGTTTCATTTCGATGTTCATTAATTTTGGACATTTCAATCTTTCTTTTCAAGCTACTTGCTATTTTGTTTGCTTGAGGACAAGCAAAGAGTTAAGTGAGGGGCAGTTGTTTGTTATGTTTTTGTGCTTATTTTCTTGTGTTTTATGTGCTTTAGTCGAGTCGTTTTTAAGTTCATTTTAGTGTCAACTAGTCAATTTTATCGTGTTTTATGTGTTTTCATTTTCGTTATGTGTTTTTGTATTTCGACGTATTTTTCTTGTCTCTTTTGGTATGTTGTTTAGGTCCAATTTGCAAATTTTGGGAAGATGAGACGTTCGTGCTGTTTTCGAGCCATTTCCGAGCCACCCAAACTAGCATACACCCAAACCAATGATCGACCAAACAAGCCATTACCCAAGAGATAAAAGTCGAGAGTCGGACCAAGAACTCGCTGCGAAACTCTGTTGGCGACCCACGAACGGCCGAGCTACACTACTCCATTCCCACACTCTCAGCGAAACTGATTTTGCAAGCCGTGAAAGTACCTTGCCAGCACCAAATAGTGCCACACTCTCTGCGAAACCGATTTCGAGACCCGTCAACTCAAAAATTCATTAAATGTGTGTGTTTTTAGTGTGTGTTTGTGGTGTAACTATAAATAGACATTGTGCTTTGTATTTTTGGAACAACTCTCTCATCTCCTAACTTTTAAGTTGGGAAATCCTCTCTATCTCTTTTCCTTTTATGCTTTGGTTTGGAGGTCTATGACTCGATTTTTCAGGCGAAATTCCGGCAACCTTATTTTTAATCAGGATTCCAGTTTTACGCAATATTTTCATCTTCGCATGCGATAGGAGAGTAAGTACCTTGCTTAGGACTTACTACCGAGTTTTTTTTTTAATATTGTGTTGATGCTCGGTTATAGGTTTTTGCTTTATTTTCATTGCTTGTTAAAGTGTGTTAGGATTCGATACGTGCTTATCTAGAAAGGTCTCGACTTTGCTCAAAGCGTTAATTAGTGTAGACAACTCGTGTTAGAATACTTAGGATCACTTTGCTCACATGTTTTCTCTTGTTTATTTTTCTTTCTCTTGAGTCATGGAGATTCCGGTAGACCAAAGTTTTGATATTTCTGTCTCTATTTGCATTTTGCATCATTTGCTTTCGTTCGCTTAGCGTAGTTTCGTGCAATCCAATCTTTTCACGCGAGTAGAATGTTTAGAAACTTGTTTTCGGTTATGTGACTTTGACGACTAGGTAGTGAACGAAGCTCCGAATAACCTTCCTTTGAGAACGACCCGAGTTGGGTAGCTCGGTACCACATTCCCACAAAAACTACAAACACAGGTACAATGACATACTCGTGAGGATGACTCTTTATAAGCTCCCAGCTGCGGTCTACATTTTTCACTATACACTGAAATTCCCGACCCCTGATGGTACGGGTACTCATTATGGGGACCAACGAGAGGCTCTAGAGTGTATATTGGTCGTCCCTCGATAGGAAATTCATGTTGTCGATGTGATGGAAGAGGAAATTGTCAAATAGAAGACTGGAAACAAGCAGGTGTTGTCTGCGTTGCCCTTATCCGGACAAATAATGTTGGATATTCTGGTGACCGAACCCGAGCAAGAGGGTCAAGAAGATTTATATTCGTTGGCATTGGGGCGATACCAGCTCAAAGATGATGAAATTGGGAGAGAGGGCCTATCAAGAGACCGAGGTAGAAGGAACGACAAAGAGCCGGTGAAAGAAGATGACAAGCTTGACCCACGGGAGCATTTATAAGACAATAAAGGTGAAAGTTAGTCGAGTCGATGGATGAGGTCGAGATTATTTTTGTGGACAAGTCGTCGTGCCAGAAGCAGCTCCACAACGGAAAGAATCTAACTGAGTTGATTCGGACGGAGCATATCAGCTTCATTTCCTAAAGGATAATTTCAACGTGTTCGCGTGGGCCAATAACGATTTGATCGAAATTTGACCCGAAGGTCGCTTGCCATAAGCTGCAAATCAACCCAACAGTTAAGCCTGTGATCCAAAAGAGAAGGAAGCTCAGCCTGGACCGACAACAGACCCTCGAAGGGGAGGTAATAAAGCTTAAGATATCCGAATCATAAGGGAAGTCCGGTATTCGACTAGGGTCTCGAATCCAGTTCTTGTAAAAGCAACATCAGGCTGAAGTACAAATATATACAGAAAACAAACAATATCTAATGTATTACAAATAAATATCTGCTATAAGGTTTTGATTGTTTGGACGACCATATTAGTCTATTAAACTGAAAGAACGGAAGAATTCTCAAAACAATGAATTCCGGTACACTTTCGCTCTTTTATTTGATTGATTCTTAATTATTGAACATGGATGGTATTTGAATTGACTTAATTTCTTTTTGGTTTATATACACCAACATCAAGATCAAGGGAAACAAGCTAGATTTTATGGTGGACTAATTTTAGGAAACAATTAATATTGGTCGTGTGCAAATATCAGACAATAATATGGTCGATGAAGAGGCCTTCGACTTCGGGTGCCATGATGTGACATTTTGCGTATCCATCCCTGCTATCCCTGTAAACAACGTCGGCTGCTCGAACGTAGCCAAGAAGCTCCTCCACCACTTCCTTTGGTACGCCGCTGCTTTTGAGGTTCATTACCCATTCAGTGTTAAAACGTTTCCAAGCATCCTCCGCCAGCTCTTCAAACCTAATCTTAGCCTCTTCCACTGATCCACCGTGATATTTGACATAGAAATCCAACCCTGTTAGGAGTGCTCCCTCTTGGCTCTCGCGCTTCATGAAAAATAACAATAATTAAAAAAAGAAAGAAAGAAAGAAAGAAAGAAAATCGAGAATAAAAAATAATATTCTATTGGCATCTAATATTAGGTTCAATACATTCAAAGAAAAAACAATATATCTTACTTCATAGCTCCCCACGTCGTCTAAGTATCGGCACACCTCAGCCAAAGGCCTAATGATTTTTGGCTCATTCTTGAACCAATCTATGGCTTCTTCACTCAAAGATTCTAAGCCCGGAAATGTAGCAGCGCAACCCACATAGATTATACTTGAGATCGCCGTCATCTGAATGTAGTCTTCGAATGAAGTAATTGGTCCTCCCATAGTGTACTTGAGACCTTGATTATAGGCACTACATATATCTTTCATCTAGGTCCAATGCAACCGGTGAATATTATTACTAGGGGTATCAATAAAATGAATAGCTAAACATATATGTTTGGGTGAAACGATTAATGGTACTGAAATTGCATTTCGAATATAATAAGAATGAACTAAGTTATAATCAGATATGAGATGACATTTTTTAGTGTAGAATGTAATAATTTTCTACTTTGATCGGACATATTGTACTTCTAAACACAATTTGTTGCAAAGTACATCAATATTAACTAAGGCATTGCTTAATCTGTTCTTATAGAGATTTATCACTTTATGTGCCCATATAATAAAGTCATTTGATCCATTTTGCATATGGAACAAAATATTTTATATGTTTCTTACGGTTTGTTTGGCATAAGGAATTGCAAATGGTTTCCCTCGTTCGACAGCTTCACGTTCGTATTCGTCATACATCTTCAAAACACACTTGTAGATGGGTTTCATATAATCCGGAAGACAATCAATTTCATCAATATTCCACCTGAGAACTTAAACATGATTAATTATTATACGCAGCAGCGCAAACAAGATACAAATTAGAATTTTAACTACTAAAAACGAAGAACTCCCACAAATTCATGATGCATGTGACTAATTATGCGCATGGATGGCACACCTGTGCACAGCCTCTGTGAATCGATCCGCCTCCTCAATCGTAGCATAATTATCATACGTATCATCAAGAATTGTAAGTATTTGAACAACTTTTGTGACAGCCTCACGGACATATGAATACTGCGGCTCAAAATGGAATGCGACACCCCAAAGATAAGCCGCAACAACTCTGTTTCTCGCGTACGGAAGGTGTGGGTTTAGTTCGTTCCACCACCTTTAAAGAAAATATTATATTACATGAACTTAAACATAATATTGTTCAAGAATCAAATTTGGTACAGTTATACTTATCAAGTTCTTGGAGCTAAAAGTAGTAGTAACAATAATTGGAATATTATTATTACCTTGTAAGTTTGTGCAGCTCCTCCTTGTATATATTTTGTACATAATTAAAATCCAACTTGGCAAGTTTAAGAAGTTGTTGGTTCTTCGAATCGTATTTCTCATACGAGGAAATATAATGACGAGTTTCCATTCGTGGAAGGCCCCTGTGAAGGGGTCTCTCTAGAGCTCGCTTCACAAGGTCTTGAAGTGGAGACTCCAACTGTTGTACCATACGCTTCAGATGATGCACCGTGAAAGTCAAAGCCTCGTCCAAGATTTGTTCTCCATGGATTCTCAAGTGGACTGCCTCATAGAGGCTGAGGAGCCCCTCAGCATCATCACTCAAGGATTCTTTGAATCTTTTGTCTTGGTCAATGAACTTGTCAAAAACATCTATTTGAAAAACAAAAAAAAAAAGTGTGTTTGCCGAATGGTGTGATGATCAACACTATGATGAAAAGAGACTGAAGGAAATCAAACGTACTGCAAGAGATATAATGACGATGCTGCCTCAGTATACGAAACAAAAGTGCAGTAGTGAACAAATCGTAGCCTTCGTTTTCTAAGTCAAACTTTATCAAGATATCTTCAAGTTGATACTCAATCTGTTGATCAAAGTGATATCCGACTCCCAATCGCTCGAGTGTGTCGATTAGTACTAGCCTCTCGCTCACTGTTTTCCCTTCAGCCATTGTTAACATGCTCCTTGCTTCTTCTTTGAGTTCCAAAATGGCTTCCGCGTACTTTTCCTGAACCTGCGCGCGTGCGCGCGTTATTTTGTCCGTACAAAAAGGATAGTAGAGATACTGTTGAATACTCTCATCATGATGTCCTAATGACTATAGTAATATAGTGGAGCAAAAGACAGAGAAATATGAAGCATTGGAAACAACAGAAACTACAAAACCAAAAATTACAAATGAAATTAAAGTGGATTAAAATAGCATACTTCTCGACTCGAGGAGTCAAGTTAGTCGGCTCGTTTTTTACGCATAACACATAAGGATAAGCGTTCGTTTGCATATACATATATATACCTGATGGTCCAAAGTAAAGGAGGAGAAAATATGATCCCACTTGCTTTCGGTAGAAAACACAACCGGCGGGCGGCCATTTGGCCAGCTTGCCGGGGAATCGAAAGTGGTGGTAGAAGCCATATTTTTGTGAACAAAAAGGGCGTAATTTCTTGCCAAATGAGTTAAAGCTGATGATATTCTGAAGTGCCAAATGAGCACTTATTTATAGACTCATCATTGAACAGGAAATTTCCCTCTAATGGGCCTGCGCTTACAAATTGGTTCACTAATTAATTGTTTAATACATATTGAAGTCGTACCTATCAGCTCCATAGGGAAAATGGGGATATGGGTGTAATAATTGAATTTGATGTGATATAAATATAATAAAATATATAATTAATAATCATTGGTAATTATAAATTAAGGGAGACTTCTTTAATAATCCCTAATCCTCTTTCCATCTTCCATTTCAGTCCCTACATAAAAAAAAATCCTCTGCACTCCCCACCCCTCTAATCATTCTTCCACTTAACTCCCCATCTTTAAAATAAATCAAAAATAAATACATAAATGACATCACACCACTTAACTTCACTATATACATTATTTTATTATTTCTCTCTCTTCCCACTATAATCCTTTTTATTATTTTTCTCTCTTTCTCTTTACATATATTTTTTTTATTATTCTTTATCATCTTCTACCACTTACCTCTCTTTCTACTAATTTTTCTTAATTTTTTTCTTAAATAATATAAATTTATTTTTGTATAAACCATCCAAATAGAAAAATTTATATTTCACTAATCTTTATTTCATATAAATATATATATACTAAATCTATAATTCTATATTTTTGTTGTTCAAATTTATCAACTAATTTTCAAAAATTAAATTATAATTTTAAATTTATTAAAAAATATTTATTAAAAAATCTATCCAATTTCAATAGAAAAATATATCAACTAGCACGAGTACATGAGTACGTAAATATATTAATATTTGTACAATAGAAAAACTAAAATAATTTATTTTTAAATTATAAAATTATGGATAATGAATATAAAAAAATAATGAATAACTAACAAAGTAGTAATTAATCTAAAATGTAGTCCGTATTGTTGCAATTCATTTTATTATTTTATTTTCTATCATAAAATGCATTAAAATAATTATTTTATGGTGTATTACTGGATTAGATTTTTATTATTTTTGTTATAAAATAATTTATGTTGTATTCATATTCTTGAAACTATACTATTTTTTTAATAAATACAATTTTATTTATATTGATAGATGTAATTATTTTTTACTTTATATATGCAATATGGAATACAAATCGAAGATCAATAAAATATGACTATATTGAGATAACATACAAAAACATAAAATAAAAATAAAAAAGAATTATAAAGATTTAAAAATAAAAAGAAACACATATTTATTATAAGAAATATTATATGAATTAAATAAGAAAAAGTAAGAGTAGTATATGGTTACTTGAGAAAAAAACCTAAAATAGTTTATGGTAATTCTCAAGCCTAAAACCGAACATGTACACGTGTTAATACAATATGTCAAATAAACTTCTGAAGCATATGTGTAATGCCCCACTTTTATTTGATAAAAGTCAAGAACTTTTCAAAAAGTCAACAAAATTTTTTTTTTTTTAAATTCTTATCATAAATCACTTGGCGTTACTCGACATATAATCTACATTTACGAAATATCAATTACTCGCTAGTACTATCTTACTCTAGGTCTGGTATCAGTTTTTGCAAATGTTGATCAAAATTGAAGTAATCCATTTTTGTTGACCAAAAGTCGGTACTAACTGATTAAAAATAGGTACTACTCAGAAGAAGAAGCGGTACTATTTCTGTCAAAACTGGTACCGTTTTAGTAATCATGATTTCTTTAATCCGCTATGCCTACTATGCCACGTGTATCGTTCACACCTGATTTGGTTGAGAAAATAGTGGAAGTTCAAGCATATAGGTAGAATTTGGAGTAGTCATGTATGATGATTCTATAAGATGAAGTGTGTCATTCAATGAAATGAAGTGTATTAGTAGTGTTTTCTCATTAGTGAGTTCATGACTATTTGACGATTAAACTCAATTTAAAATATTTTAAATCTCATACAAACTAATGTGAGAGTGATTATTGGTCATATAAATATCACCTGAGACCGAAATTCGGTGTTTTTTTTTTATCTTCGTCGAAGTTGGTACTAAAGAAATGATTTCTAGTACTAGAACACCGAAAGTTGGTACTATCTCACTTTAGGTTTGGTACAAATTATTGCAAATTTTGACCACAATTGAATAATCCATTTTTGTTGACCAAAAGCAAGTACTAATTGATCAAAAACAGGTGCCACGTAGAAGAATATGTGGTACTATATTGGCTAAAACAGGTATTAGTTTAAGAATTGTGATTTCTCTAATTCTTCATGTCTACCATGACACGTGGATCGTTCACACGTGATTTGGATAAAAAATAGTGGAAATTAAAATATATAGGTAGAATTTTGAGTGGTTATATGATGATTCTATGAGATGAAGTGTGTAATTCAATGAAATGAAGTGTATTAGTAGTGTTTTCGGTGTTTGTATGTGTTCACTACAAGTGGTACTAAGGACCAATATCAGGTACCACAACAATATAAAACTGGTACTATCTTACTCTATGTATGGTACTACTTTTTGTAAATGTTGACAAAAATTGAAAGAATCAATTTTTGATAACAAAAGTAGGTACTAATTATTCAAAAACAGGTACCACGTAGAAGAATATGTGGTACTATTTTGGATAAAAGTGGTACTATTTTAAGAATTGTGATTTCTCTAATCTTTCATGTCTACCATGACATGTGGATCGTTCACACGTAATTTGGATGAAAAATAGTGGAAGTTAAAACATATAGGTAGAATTTGGAGTAGTTATGTATGATGATTCTATGAGATGAAGTGTGACAATCAATGAAATGAAGTGTATTAGTAGTGTTTTTTCATTAGTGTGTCGAGTTCATAACCAATTTGCAAATAAACTCAATTACAAACATTTTAAATCACATATAAACTAATGTGAGAGTGATTATAGATCATATAAACATCATTTGAAAATGAAATTCGGTGTTTGTATGTGTTCATTACAAGTGGTACTAAAGTCCCAAATTTAGGTACCACAACAATATAAAACTGATACTATCTTACTATATGTCTGGTACTACTTTTTGTAAATGTTGACCCAAATTGAAATAATCAATTTTCGTTAACAAAAGTAGGTACTAATCGTTCAAAAACAGGTACCACGTAGAAGAAGATGTGGTACTATTTTGGCTAAAATAAGTACTATTTTAAGAATCGTGATTCTCTAATCCTTCATGTCTACCATGACAAGTTGATCGTTCACTCATGATTTGGATGAAAAATAATGAAAGTTAAAACATATAGGTAGAATTTGGAGTAGTCATGTATGATAATCCTATGAGATGAAGTGTGTAATTCAAAGAAATAAAGTGTATTAGTAGTGTTTTTGCATTAGTGTGTCAGTTCATAACCAATTTACGAATAAACTCAATTAAAAACATTTTAAATCTCATATAAACTAATGTGAGACTGATTATGGGTCATATAAACATCATTTGAAACCAAAATTCGGTGTTTGTATGTGTTCACTACAAGTGGTACTAAAGACTCACTATCAGGTACCACAACAATATAAAACTGGTACTATCTTACTCTATATATGGTACTACTTTTTGTAAATGTTGACCAAAATTGAAAGAATCAATTTTTGATAACAAAAGTAGGTACTAATTGTTCAAAAACAGGTACCACGTAGAAGAATATGTGGTACTATTTTTGATAAAAGAGGTACTATTTTAAGAATTGTGATTTCTCTAATCTTTCATGTCTACCATGACATGTGGATCGTTCACACGTGATTTGGATGAAAAATAGTGGAAGTTAAAACATATAGGTAGAATTTGGAGTAGTCATGTATGATGATTCTATGAGATGAAGTGTGACATTCAATGAAATGAAGTGTATTAGTAGTGTTCTCTCATTAGTGTGTCGAGTTCATAACCAATTTGCAAATAAACTCAATTACAAACATTTTAAATCACATATAAACTAATGTGAGAGTAATTATAGGTCATATAAACATCATTTGAAAATGAAATTCGATGTTTTTATGTGTTCATTACAAGTGGTACTAAAGACCCAATGTCAGGTACCACAACAATATAAAACTGGTATTATCTTACTATATGTCTGGTACTACTTTTTGTAAATGTTGACCCAAATTGAAATAATCAATTTTCGTTAACAAAATTAGGTACTAATCGTTCAAAAACAGGTACCACGTAGATGAAGATGTGGTACTATTTTGGCTAAAACAAGTACTATTTTAAGAATCGTGATTCTCTAATCCTTCATGTCTACCATGACAAGTTGATCGTTCACGCATGATTTGGATGAAAAATAATGAAAGTTAAAACATAGAGGTAGAATTTGGAGTAGTCATGTATGATAATCCTATGAGATGAAGTGTGTCATTCAATAAAGTGAAGTGTATTAGTTGTGTTTTCTCATTAGTGTGTCGAGTTCATGACCAATTTGCGATTAAATTCAATTGAAAACATTTTAAATCTCATATAAACTAATGTGAGAGTGATTATGGGTTATATAAACATCATTTGAAACCAAAATTCGGTGTTTTTATGTGTTCGTTACAAATAGTACTAGAGACCCAATATCAGGTACTACAACACTACAAAACTAGTACTATTTTACTCTATGTCTGGTACTACTTTTTGTAAATATTGACCAAAATTGAAATAATCCATTTTCTTTCACAGAAGTAGGTACTAATCTATTAAAAACAGGTACCACGTAGAAGAAGATGTGGTACTATTTTCGCTAAAACAGATACTGTTTAAGGAATCGTGATTTTTTTTAATCTTTCATGTCTACCTTTTCATGTGGATCGTTAACGCGCGATTTGGATAAAAAATAGTGGAAGTTAAAATATGTAGGTAGAATTTGGAGTATTCATGTATGACAATTTTATGAGATAAAGTGTGTTATTCAATGAAATAAAGTGTATTACTAGTGTTTTCTCATTAGT